CTCTGATGCATATTCAAGACAAAAGGTAGCATTTTATAGATAAGAATTTTGTGTAAAAGTGCTATATAAAGAAAAGATATTAAAAAGTACTAAAAATGTAAGCAAGTAAAGATGAGGAAGCCAGTATGACTTTAGGCATGACTCACACACACCTCCCTCCCCACCTGACCCTTTCCAGCTTCACACTCGCTGGAAATGATCAACTCTTGAGTCTCCCACATCTCTATTGGAAATGCAGACCCACTCTCATCCTACCAATCTCTCTGACCTTTATTCTCATCTGTAAAACTGAAATAGCAATCATCAGTCCCACTTCACAAGGCTGATGTGATGTTCAAATTAGAAAGGATGTGAAATCACTTTTTAAACTTTATAGGCCCATGCACTGACAAAAAGTTATTATAATGCCATTATGGACTATTTCTCAAGCTTTCTCTCTCCTTGAGTCCTTTCCCTTTTCTAGCTTTTTTCCATTTTGCACTTTGATGCCAGGGCAAAGCACAATGTATTAAATATTTTAGAGAGCTAGATCCACCTATGGACAGGAGACAATCTGGGCACGTATTGGAAGACCTAAGCTTTAACTGAGGATTTTTGGAAAGCTAGATGCTCAGTTGGAGCAGAGTTGGAAATATGGACTAGAAAAATCTAAGATTCACCTCCATTCATTTTTTGTGGAAAAAGCCACTGGAGCTAGGTCCCGATGCCTTGTATGGGGTCTTTTGGTAAGGCAGTTATTTTAGGGGGGGAAAAGGCTCAATTCTCATGTCCCTGCCCAGAGCAAACACTTTGAAAGCCAAAAAGAGACCACAGGCTGAGATGGCAGAAAAGCTAAAGAGAAGGAGCATCCTTGCAACTATCAGTGTGTCTTCTGGTCACAGCCAAGCACTCTTACTCTGGGCCTCCCCACAGGGCACTAAAACCCCTCACCCATAAGCTTTCTGGCATCCACCAGCTCCCTAGAAGTGTAAACATACAGGTGGGAAGAGAATTTCAACCAGCCCTGTTCACTAGCTCTGCAACAAATTGTCTCTTCCATCTTGCCCAACCTTCCCAATCCTAAGTTACTGAATCATATAAAGAATCTGCTCTGATTATAATCAATAATGCAAAATAGGAAAAAAAGGTCCAAAGGGGTAGGGGTAGTGGGAGGGGCAGGAGAAAGGAAAGAAGGGAAAGGAAAAATGATGAAAAATGGAAATAATGTAAATAAAGTCTTTGTAAATAGTGAAGGGTGGAGGGGGTGAAGGGAGGGCTAGGAATGGGGAAAAAATTAAAAAAAATTAAAAAAAAAAAGAATCTGCTCTGAATTCCACACTGCAGCTGGGCTGGGCAAGGACTCCCAAGCCACAAACAAAATTGGGGCTAACTACATAAGTAAATGTTGCAGGTTCTGATAGATGGAGACTATCTTTATGAAAAAGAAAAATGCTGTGCAGTTTGTTCCTACCAAGTTATCACTTCACTTTTTTCCTATCAAAGCCAATAGTCTGAGTGAAAAAAAAAATATTTTTCAAGACCTGGAGACTTGGCACTAAAGCTAGGTAGTTGAAGTGGTCCAGTTAATCTCAGGGAGAGGGATTTGACCCTGTGAGTCTTCTAATTAACATTTCCAATAGCTAGACAAAGCTAGGCTCTGTATGTCTGCCGTGGATATATTTTCTAGGTATTTGCAAGCAAGACTGTTATTTCTTATCTCCTCCCCAAAATCATCTCCCCAAGCCCCAGTGGGCTCCATCCCTTGTTGTCCAGTCACAGTGCTGCCTGGGTCTTTAAAGGGTTGCTTCTGGAGCTCAGTTAGCATTGAGTGACAAAGGAGTTGCTAGGATACTAGTAGAGGGCATTTTCTTTAATTCCTTGGTGAAGAGCTAAAAGCCAAAATTCCTGAGCAGGGATATTGCCCCCCGCCAGTAGAAAAAGCTTATTCTCTAATTAAAGGAATGACAAAAGAGAATAATGAGCTTTACTAGGAAAAGTTGGGGCAAATCAGGGAGGAAAACCCCTCTTCCTTATTTTTCATCCACTTAGAGTGTGTGTGTGGGGGGGTGGTAGCAGGGGAGGGAGGAAAGGGAAAATGCGAAGGATTAAGAGAGAAGGCAGGAGAGGAAGAAAAACAACAAAATACACAGGGTTCCACTCCTCTGGACTGCATTTATCATTTTCTCCCACTTTCTCTTTTTGCATGCCCTCACATATCTGAAGGAGAAATGCCAAACGTTTAGGATTCACACAAGTAAAATGTCACATTTTCACCCTTTGTTCTCTACTCCTCAAACTCCCTTCTGGCTGCTCTAAAGTGACCTGACATCTCGCTATGCCTCTTATTCATCTAGGTAAGTGAATTTGGAAGGTGTGAACTATCACAGCTAAATTACTGATGGGATGGCTCACTGAAACTACTTCTTTAGCCTGAAGGGTATCAGATGGTGGGAGGAGGACTGTCATGGGTGGCACCCATCCATCCTAGCACCATTTAAATTCTCCTCACAAACCCTAGCACAAGAGGCCATTCAGAACTGTGGAAATCAATGCTGTCTTTCCCCATTCCTATCATCACCACCCTCAGGAGTGTGCACACACACCCACAAACATACTGCCACACAAACATTTCTAAAGGCTTTCTGGCAAGGGTTTGCCAGGCACCCAGAGGGGAAGGCATTTCATGATACAACTTAATCATATACCTGAGTCAAAGACTAGCCTTTTAGGCCCCTTGTGCTCTTAGTGAAAATGAAAAAAAAAGTCATTCTAGTGGTATAGTCCCCATTTCCTTACCACACAGCTAGGCCAAAAATTTCTTAGGTAAAACTTCTCTAGCTATCAGCAATCAAATATCCACCTGCTTCTCCCATCGTCCCTTAATTATCATTTTATTTTCCTTTTCACTTGTTTTGAGTTTATCCCCTTCCAACTTCAATTCTACTGGGTGCTCCAAGTTCTAGAATGCAAGAACTTGGAGTTACCTTAGCCAAACATTTTAAAATGCCAGTGTTTACAGGGAATCTCAAACACACTGAGGAGGAAAAAATTGCCCAAGGTCAATCATTTACTGAGTGGAGAAAAATCAGATCTGCAGCTGCCTGGCATTGAGCTTTTCCCCTCATCAACACTGTCTCAAAACAAGGTACCAAGGCAAGATACATGATCTAATGCTTAATTTAAATAATATCTCTGGTGAGGTACTGAGGATTGAATCCAGGGCCTTCATACTGAGCTATATCCCCAGTCCTTTTTTATTTTGTATTCTGGAGAGGGTCTTGCTGAAGTGCCCAGCCTCGGCCTCCCAAGTGCTGGGATTACAGGCATGTGCTACTGCACTTCGTAGATTCTCCTTGAGAAGAAACAAGTTCTTTGGTCCACCCACACAGGACCAAAGACTACTAAGAATCAGTGCCAGTAAACTTCCAAGATCATGCTTATACCATGGTACCAAATGAGAAAAACAAACACACCTCAGCTTCTCACCCATTAAGACAGCTGGTTTTGAGGTTCAAAACCTAGACTGACATCATTAAATAATACTCTGAGTCCTGTGGTCAGGATAATATGAACATGCCTCTCCCCTTCACATCCCAGCTTCTTTCGTAATCATTTCCAAAGAGATTGAACAGGACACAGAACTTGACAGCATAATGCCAGCAGATCTGCACATCACACAGGAGCGGCCGCCTACATGAGTGCTGGGGGAGCATGTGTGTATGTGTGTATGTGCCCTGATTCATTGCTACATGAACAAAAATAGCACTATTTCAAAACAGGTAAGCAACACAAGTGAGGAAGATCTGTCTACATCAGCAAGGGAGAAAAAAGTATTATGCACAGTGGAACCACAGTCAATTTCCTAGCTTTCCCAAGAGATTTCTCAGCAGAAATAAAAATAAAAATAATAACAATAAAAACAGCAACCATCACTACCATATGATACACAAGGAGACATATCTCAAATAGGAATGTTGCTTCCAGCTCATGTTTCCCAAGCTCTCATCCGATTCCATCCAGACTTTTTCTTGGTGCTCAAAACTCTTAATTTAACACATTACATACTTCCAGTTATAGGGATTTTTCAATTAGAGAAACCTCTGCTCTTAAAGCAACAACAAGAATGCAAACAATAACACCACCACTTTCTCACAGCACTATCAAGTTCTTTAAAAATGTAGTTCAAGAACATGATTACAAATGAGACTACCGCCAAAGGAGCATATCCAACACAATGATTCCCAAAGTAGGTAAAAAAAAAAAAAACACTGGCTTTTGTTTTCTGGATGAGCCATAGAAAAATCTTCAAACTCAAATCCAGGGGTACAATCTCTGGGAAATGGAGTTCAAGGTCTCTTGTCAAAGTCCTCTCTTGCCAATTCAAAAAATCAGAGAATCCTTTTAGGTCCCATTCCATGATTCCAAAGAAATTGACATTTAATACTGTAAAAAATGTTTTAATGGCGGCTTCTTTTCAAATTGGAAACTGTGAACCCTGCACTGTAAACTGAAATTCGAAGGACACAGTCACCAATTGCCACCTCAAGGAACCCCACTGCATCACTTCCCAACTTCTTGCCTCTCATTAGAGAATAAAAAAAATTCTCCTAAATCCATTTATTACATTGATATCTACCCCTCTAAACATCTAGTACAAGACTGCCTTTCTTGAACACCAAAATTTCATCATGCTCTTCCACAAACTCCTTCCTTCACCCCCACCCCAAACAAACCCAAATGCACTCTTGTTGGCAAGAGAGAAATTTTGACTAAAATTCACTAATGGAATTTAAAAGTATTCTCAAGAAAATGTAGACAAGACACCACAGAGAAGTCACTGTTAAGGAAAGCAGAGCTTGCTGTATGAACGTCACATAGATGGAGAATGCACACAGGCATGCACACTTAAATAGAAAACATTTCTTTATCAATAATTTCACTCAAGCAATTATTCACAAGGCATACTTAAAAGACAAGACAGGACAAAAGATTTAGGGAGAGATAATATACCAACGTCATACATATCACAGCGAGGCCATGTTGAAGCTCAAAACGTTTCCCCCCAGTAAAAAAGCTTGTTCTTTCTCTCCCTCTCTTCCCTGGTCTCTCTCTCTCTCCCTCTCTCCCTCTCTCTCTCTTTCTCCTCTCTCTCTCTTTCTCCTCTCCTCTCTCTCCCGACACCCCCCCCCCCCCCGGCGATGGCTCTCGGGATGAAATCAAAGCGAGAGTTCGCGACAGCTCAGGTGGCTGTACTCCATTCAGCGCGTTCCCAGGAAAAACATGAGTATGACATTGACAAGCAGGAGGACTACAATCACGGCAAAAACGACTACAGTTTGCACATCCAGGGTCATGGTGCAATGCAGAACACTGTAGTGTTCCAGGTGGGGGGCTGGCAGATTGGGAGATGTCAGTCTCTGTTCTGTCAGACTGTCCATACAGCCACCATGCTAGAAAGGAGAAGAGGAAGTCGGGTGGTTAAGGAAGGGTTGGGTTTGGCGCCCGAGTTCGTCGGGGAGGGGAGGGAAGGGGGATGGGGACAGGGGCACTTGCTTCCACCCCCTCCCCCCTCAGGATTGAGCTGATCTTTTCTTGCCTAGCTGCGAAATCTTAGCTTGTGCTGAAGACGGCAGTCCAGCATTCTCTCTCGGGCGCCACGGAAAAAGCAAAATCCTGGTTTTCAAAGGGAAAGGCGGGAGGAACCTATCAGAGGTTCTCCAGCGCCGGCTGAGTCTGTCTGTCCGGGCGTACGTCCGCCTGTCTGGCTACCGGTCAGTCTCAGTCTCCTCTATTCTCTCTAGTTCCCTCGCTTTCCTACGCTGCTCTCTTCGCTGGGTTCCAGGCTGCCAGGCACGCTTTCCAGCCCTTCCTCGCTGGTCTTCTCCCTCTCCTCTCCCCACCCCCACCACATCCCGTAGGCTGCCTTTTTATTCTGGGAGAGACTGTGGGCGCCTGCGTGAGGCGGGGCCACAGTCACTGACAGACTCACTGGTCAATAGCAGCTTCTGGAGAGACCCGTTCACTGCCGGGGGTGGGACTTGAGCTGGCGTGCTAGCCCCAGCAGCCAATCCAAGGGCCCAACGCTCCAGGAACTGGCTTGCTGTATTCAGAACAGAAGAGCGGGAGACGCCAGTAGCTAGGTTTTGGCGTGGGGGAAGGGAGCTTGTGGGGGTGGGTTGAAGAGGATGTAGGCTGATTTCTGGAAGAAGAAGACTTTGAGAAAGGGAGGGGGCCCACCAAAGGGGATGTAAAGGAGCTGGCTTGGCAGAAGGGAGAAAGGAGAAAGGAGGGACAGAGGAAACAATGGGAGAGAGAGAGAAAGAGAGAGAGAAAGAGAAAGATGGGAAGGAGGAAGAACTAGGAGCTATGATAAAGAAAGGGGAGGGATGGGAAAACAGGATAGGTAGGTAAAGCAAAGGCCTGTACTTTGGGTAACCACTTTGGAGCCTGGGCCAAGAAGAAAGCAAAAGTGCCTTTGGCCACTGTCCAAAATGTATACATGCAATTCACAGTTAGCTGTAAAAAATTTCACGAACTGGTGCTGTGGACAGAAGCACAGGAACACAATACAAAATATTCAAAATTCAATTTTTTTTTTTAAAGTTCAATTCTATTTGGCGTTCTCTGATATGGCTGCCCATTCCTAATTAGCTTCTTCACAGTATGACAGTTAACTTGCATTCTTTCAGTATGGTGGGTACTAAGAAGGGAAGCCCGCTAGAGTTAAGTATTCAACATGGGTAAACATCTTTTTAAAATTTTAAAAATATTTTAGTACATGTTAGCAATTCATGCAGTTTATAATCATCTTGGGGAGAGGTTACATGTGCATACCACAGCTTGTTTTTTTAAATCCCCTTCCCTTTCCCTCCCTCTCCCTCTCTTCTCCTCCAATTCCCCTATCCCATTTTTCATTCTTGTTGATATTTTTTATCTTAGCCCTTGTTATGGCATATAATGTTTACATTAATTAAGGTTATTAGGGTCCTGTACATGGAATATCTTTATTCTACTTACTTCTCCTTCCCCTCTTTACCCCTCGTGCTTTTTCCTTGGGACCACCTTCCTATTGCAAGAAATCAATCCCCTTGTACTCTTTTTTTTGGTACCGGGGATTGAACTCGGGTCCTTGAGCTTGCACAGCAGGTGGCCAAACCACTGAGCTAAATCCCTGGCCCCTCCCTGTACCCTTCTTTCCAGCCTTCATTATTCTCTTTGTACTTTGCCTCACTCAAATGAGAGATACTGTACAGTATTTAAGCTTGTGTGTCCGGTTTATTTCACTCAACATATTTTCCAGGTGCATCCATTTTTCTGCAAATATCTCAAATCTGTCATTCTTTATAGCAGAGTAGTATTCCATTATATATAATACCACATTTTCTTTATCTGATTATCTGTTGATGGGTATACAGACTATTTCCAGGATTTATGATTTATGCTGCTATAAACATTGGTATGCATGTATCCCTATAGTATGATGTCTTAAGCTCTTTGGGGAAGATACCTAGCCAGGGAATCTCTGGGTCATAGGGAATTTCTAATTTCAGTTCTTTGAGAAATCTCCATAGTAACTCCCATAATGATTGTACTAGTTTGCATTCCCACCAGCAATAAAGGCCACAACCACAACAGCATTTGTTATTGTTTGATTTCTTCAAGATTCCCATTCTTTCTGGAGTAGGACAGAGTCTTAGTGTTGTTTTAATTTGCATTTCTCTAATGACCAGAGATGTTGAGCATTTTTTCATGTATATTTGTTGACCATTTGCACTTTTTTCCTCTGTGAAGTGTCTGTTCATTTCTCTTGCCCATTTCTTGACCAGATCTTTAATTTTAGGTGGTTTATTTTTTTTTCTTTTTTTAAGTTCTTTGTATATTCTAGATATTAGTCCTCTGTCTGAGGAGTAGCTGGCAAAAATATTTTCATTCTGAAGTTTGTCTCTTCACTCTACTAGTGGATTCTTTTTATACAGCAGCTTTTTTGTTTGTTATAATCCCATTTCTTCATTATTGCTGTTATTTCCTATGAAATTGAGGTTCTGCTTAGAAAATCCTTTCCTATACCTATGTCTTCAAGTGTTTGGCCTATTTTATCTTCCAGTACATTTAATGTTTCCATTTTAACGTTTAGATCTTTGATCTGTTTTGATTCTAATTTAGTATATGATGAGAGATAAGGGTCCAGTTTCAATTGTCTGCACACAGATAACCAGTTTTCCCAGCACCGTTTGTTGAATAGGCTGTCTTTCCTCCAACATATGCTTTTGGCCATTTTGTCAAAGGTCAAATAGCTGAATGTGTCAGGGGACGTTTCTGTATCCTCAGTTCTATTCCACTGAATCATGTATCTGTTTTTGTTCCAGTACCATGCCATTTTTATCACTATTGCATTGTAGTGTATCTTGAAGTCAGGTATTGCTATGCCTCCTGCTTTGCTCTTTTTGTCCAAAATTTATTTTGTTATTTTGGGTCTCTTCTTGTTCCATATGAATTTTAAGATTGTTTTTTCAAGATCTGTAAAACATGCTATTGGTATTTTCATTGTGACTGCACTGAATATGTATAACAGTTTTGAGAGTATAGTTATTTTGACAATATTGTTTCTGCCTATCCAGTAGCAGGGGACATCATTCCATCTTCTGATACCCTCTTCCATCTCTTTTTTCAGAATACTATAGTGTTCTTTGTAGAGGTCTTCCACTTCCTTGGTTAGGTTAATTCCTAGGTGTGTCATTTTTCTTGAAGCTACTGTGAGTAGTATTGTTTTCATAATTTCCTTCTCATTCCATTCATTCATTGTTGGTGTACACAATGCTAATGATTTTTGTCTGTTGTTTTTGTATCCTACTACATTGCTGAAATTGATTATTCTAAGAGTTATTTTGGTGGAGTTCTTTGGGTCTTCAGAGTATCATGCCCTCTGCAAATAATGATAATTTGAGTTCTTCTTTTCCTACATGTATCTTTTATTTCTTTCTCTTGACTAATTGCTATGACTAATGTTTTACGTACTGTGTTGAATAGAAGAGGTGATAGTAGACTTCCCTGTCTTGTTCCTACTTTTAAGAGGAATGCTTTTAGTTTTTCTCCATTTAGTATGATGCTGGCTATTGTTTTATCATATATAGCTTTTATCAAATGCAGGTATGGTCTTTCTATACCTGTTTTCTTCAAGATTTTTATAATGAAGGTGTGTTGGATTCAGCATGGATAAACTTCTGAACAACTTGTAATCTTTGTCTTGCTTAAAGTTTGTGACCCAGTGTCTAGAGCTTCCAGGGTCAGTGGGAGCTGAATAAGAGATCAGAAGATTTCAGATTTACTTCCATCCCTGTACTTTTTAACTTTGGGGAAACTCTTTACTCCTCTCTGGCCCTCTATCTCCCTGCAGTCACATGAAGACTTAGAATTAACATGAGAATTCAGTGAAACTTCAGAACCCTCACCTCAGAAAAGTACATACAATTTCTGCTGCTTCTTAGACCCTATAGAGAAGCTCTCTTAGGGCTTTTCAGCCTCTTACCATTCTCTAACTCTATGAATGAACAGATAGATAATGGTGGAAAGTGGCAAGAAACTGGATAAATGAGGCATAGAATAAATTAAGTTCTGGAACTGCTAGGATACCATGGACTATAAGAGGAATGAAATTGGTTTTTTATTATCTAGGAACACTTGAGGTTCAGATAAAAGACTTGTCCATCATAAATAGATTATTGGAAAATGTGAACAAAATGATCTCTGGCCCTATAAGATATAATACATTCCAACTAATTCCCCACTTCACAAATTTGGCTCATAATATAACCAGTACTAAAATAAAGAACTTTAAAACAGATTTTTTTCCTTTTAGAGATAAGAAACTTTTCCAAACTTCCTCCAGCTGCACCTTTAACCAACACTTCTCCACTCCTCAGCACAAAAGGGAAGGAATATGAAGATATTTGCTCCAGGAGGCCAGGGCCCAGTTTCCTTTCCAGAAGAAAGAGGAGAATGAGCTGAAGTTCCCTGGAAGCTATAAAGCAAGTATGGAGATCTGCATTATCTCTCTTTGTTTCCTTTTCCCCTGTTCTTTATTATAAAAGACCTTTACACACCTGTACCTGGCGAGATGTTGAATTGAGGCAAATAGGGCCCTCTCTCATTGGAGCTATCTTTAAATAAATTCCTGTTCTTTTTTACTAAAATAAATATCCTCCTTTGATTTGGTCAGTGTGAACAGATGAGCATATGGACCTGAGTAGCTGTTAACAATAGCATCACTTGTGAATCATTCTTGCCAAAACAACAGAAAACTTTGAATCAGGTCAAGCTTCTACATCCAACTCTCAATTTATAGAACACACAGAGGAGAAATAGTTAAACTGTAATGCAGGGATTCATGTTATAAAAATTCCCACTATAAAACCAATAATCTAGTCCTTTAAAAATGCATAGGAAGAAAATAAAGATTAATTGATGAGTGGAATTTGAACATACACACACATATTTGTGGCATTTATGAAACAGCTGAAAATTTGAGCACAAACCAGATATTTGGTGATATTAAGGAATTAGTATTAACTGTTTAGATGTGATAATAATGTTGTGACTAAGTTTAACAACAGGGAGGAATGAATTTGGTTTCTTAAATATGACATGAATACACCAACAACCAAAGGAAAAAATAAATTACACTTCATCAAAATTAAAACTTTTGTATTTTAAAGGACACCATCATGAGTGTAAAATGTCAACCCAAAGAATGGAAGAAAATATTTATAAGTAATGTACATGATACGAGAATTGTATTTAAATATATAAGGAACTCTGAAAGCTCATAATAACTATAATCCAATTTTAAAATCATCAAAGGTTCTGAACAGACCTTCATCCAAAGAAATGTTTGATAAAGCACATGAAAAGATATTCAACATA